CAATTGAATTTCGGCCATTCGGCTCTTTATTATTTATTTTTATTGGATCACGTTTTCACTTTTAGATCCGTGGATAAAATCATTTGATACTAGAGGGATCTCGAAAATACTATTTGTTTTCGCAGGGACATTATTTTGGCATAATCTGCTAAACCCATTCTTCAACGAGACTTATTGCGATCGACATATTTACGATCAATTATAAACCATCTATCTGTATCTCTAGTCTGGTGGACTAGCAGTGGTCTTGTGTGGTTGTGCCCTAATACCCTCTGTGTAATTATGTTCCACACGGCTCGTTTTCATATATATATATATATATATATATATATAAAATTAATTGCTGTTCGTTAGTCTCGCTAAAACTCGAGAACGGCTGGACCGATTTGGTTTTGAAATATTTGTGGTGTCCAGGAAAATCGAAATACGAACAATTTTATTTTCCCATACAAACTGTTCCTAACTGTCAAACATTTTATGAGTGAGTTCAGAGAATTCTTTTTCTATGTTTTCAATTTAACAAAGTCCCTACAAATAATTCATATGGCAAAACAAAGTTTGCCGGGTCAGCTAGTTATGTGTATAAGCTGTTACTTAGCCCTAATATCCTCTGTACATAGGAGGCTTTTATCCAGCCGTGGGTCACGTGTATATAGGCTTTTACTTTAGCTTATTTTTTTACAACCGACCGCCCGCTTGACGGCAACTCTCGTAGGAAAAAAACACCCAGATAAGGAAATTATTTGTGGATTACATAAATACTTGTACCGTCTGGGGATTCCGCGAACCCCGACGTCGAGGCTGTTAGCTCAGACACTGTGCCACCGATACTGTATTATACAAATACGAACTTTATTTATTTGCATAGGAAAATAGCTTCTAATATTATGTATTGTGGTGATATTTCATTACTCACATATAAGCTTACTGGTAAATTGTAACCTAACGAGTGATGTTTGCAAGGTCAATTATACGAACAACCATCTAGGAGCAACCTTCTTGGAGCAACTTTCTTTTATAGCAGCTTTTATTAATCTAAGTTAACTGCACATATTTCCAACGAACTCGAGAATTGTATATTGGTAATGGGTTGGCGTTGTGTTGTTATAGACATGACATGACCTAGCGAGATATGAGTACAACTTCCACACTGGATAAAAACGACTTCAAATGTATTCACTTTGAGAAAGACTGAATTCCGCTGTGTTAAATTTCTGAGCACATAACTTCGACTGTAAACAATGTAAATGAGAAGCAACTTAATATTCATGAAAATAAGATTCACGGTATTTTCCTCCGAGTTATTTAATAAGTACTGAAAACTGTTTAAATAAATGGGCCTTTAAAAAATACTACATGAGATGTGTTACGATTCTAATAATAAATTGATTTAAAGACAGAACACCACCTAACAAATCATCATCAATCCTTCAAACTACCACCTTTATTGGTTTTCAAACATATAAGATGACTGTAGCTCATCGTATGACTTTGTGGCCAATAGCATAACCAAAAATTGCCTCGGCCAAGATTGAAAAATCCAAACAATACATGGCAAAATGTCCACCGTCTACTTTATTATCACCATAATTTACTGAATAATAAATTCAATGTTTACATATTATCATGGTTAAGGCTTTGGAACGTGCTTGTTAAAATTTGTAATGTCTTTTGCAACCATGCGACGAAACAGACATATTGCACAACTAGACTGCGCAGTGTCGGACTGTTCACGACAAGGTTTTAAGATCATTTGTTTAATTTTCAACGCAACGTGCTATTCCATTAAACTAGGCTGGTCTTACATAATTTATGTATCGAGATAAAGTGAAAACATGCCAAGTGATTGGAGGGTATGCTAGCTTCTATGAATTTCCCATTTTTCTGGTTTCCTCATTTCTTTCCACGGTGGTAGGGCCACGCAGCAGCCTCGGCTGTTGCACTAATGGGCAGGCTCGTCCGGGTATGTACCACTTTAATACTTTCGCGTTTCGTCTGGTGAGTGAGGTAGCCGGAGCCCAATTTTCAAAAGGTTGTCAACGCATCTGGAACCCTCGAGTGTAGCCGATGTCCTTAGGCGGCGGTATTAACATCAGGTGAACCGCCTGCTCGCTTGGAAACTTTTCACATAAAAAAAAAGATGGCAGTTGCTTCATGGCAGGCTGTTAAATTTTAGGACTTTAGGACTGTAGTGAAATGTCCAGAATGATTATAGGCTACTTAATTCAGATGACATAAAGTGTTTGCAACGTCATGATTTCCAAAAGAAATTAAACACGACAAAGCCCATAAAATTGATTCACTTAAATATGTAGAGTATTCGCGTAAAGGCAAGAAATCATTAACTGCTTTAATAATGAATGTATAGTATTAATTTTTGGGTTATGATACTAAAACTTGAAACAATATTATACAAGCGATGAGCCTCATCACTTCGGTCGAATGTTCAATTGCTATATTTCTTGGTTAAGTTTTGTTCCTCAATGATTTACCTCTGTGACAAAATAATGCATATAGAACACACGGAAACATTATATTGTAATGGACAAAATTGAGTAATTTCATGAGTGACCATTATTTTCTCATTCTTCTTTTGTAAAAATAATTGTCCGCATTGGAAAAAGATTATCTTGTATGTAGACATGAAATTGCTAATAAATCAACACCCAAAAAGACCCAATGTGGTCTGCTCTGTTGTGTTTGTGTTCTGTTGTTCATTCAATTATATTTGTTCAGAACAGGAATGGAACGTCGCTGTGGTCATTAAACTCTAACTACTGCTAAGCGAGTAGTTTGTTTATTGAAATTATCTCATCATTCCATTTTTATTTCTAACTGGTTTTTCTCCCGCGACTCCGCCCGCGTTGAAGCCCTTAAATAAATGTATTTTTTTAATTAATAAAAAGCACGCTATGCCCTTTTTAATACGCGAACGCTTTTCAAACGCGAAAGTTTGTAAGTATGGATGGATGTTAGTTACTCTTTCACGCAAATACTACTGAATGGATTTTAATGAAACTTTACAATAATATAACTTATATATCAGTAAAATAATAAAACAACGGCTATAATTTATATACATATTTTTACGCCTTCAGCGTATTCTGCGCAGACGTAGTCGCGGGCAGCAGCTAGTTTATATTATTATAGTACGGATTAGGGACTTGAATCTTTGGTGGATCCCTGAAGAGGCTATGTGGAAGTAGTTCTTGCAGAATTTTTTCCACGTGCATAATCCTGGAGTGGACTCACCTCATTCTCCACCTGCAGGTCGGTCGTCAGTCTTGATAGGGGCCGTCCCACGCTATCTGGACCGTGTTATCGATAGATAGGGCTGTCACCGTCCATCGCAAGGAACACGCCATTCTGACCTCTGTAGCGTATGACAGATAAGCGCGTTTACCTTGAAACTACATTCAAGGTAAAAGCCACCCGATGCCATTGTATGCTACGATATTTTTATACACTCAATAAGTACTAGCGTTGTTATTTTTTTTTATGCGATTTGTGCTTGTTTAGTCTATGCTCGTTATTGTTTCTTGCTTTTTAATTATCACCGCGTTGACATTTCAAACTATAATGTGAGCTTTCTTTGATTATTATTTGGTTTTTAAAAAAATCTACCGTAAAGATTTTAAATAGGACGAAATATCGATCTATCCTTACTGAGGAAAGCTGGCGAAAATAGTAGATATGAATAATAATAAATAATTAATACCCTTTAAAAACTAGATATAATCGCCGTTAATGTTATATAATTTCTTCCTTGCACATTAAGCCTAATAAGCATTACAAGGTATACATTAATACACTGCCTTAATACACCTACTTAATGCTTTTCTTATGTTAACAAACCTCATCTACAGGCTTGCCTACTGCTTACTAATCGTGGTACTGTTTTGATTAGCATATTTTTTTATATAATAACTAATTTATGAATATTTTTTTATAATACATACGTACATATTGTATTATATAATAAAATTAAATTACGTTTTAACTGTGGTAGAGCCACGCAGCAGCCCCGGCTATTGCACGAATGGGCAGGCTCGTCCGGGTAAATACCACGACCTCACAGAAGACCGGCGTAAACTGAAAGTCTAATAAATACTTTCGCGTTTCGTCTGGTGAGTGAGGTAGCCGGAGCCCAACCTTCAGAAGGTTGTCGACGCATCTGTAACCCTCGGGTGTAGCAGATGTCCATGGGCGATGGTATTCACTTAAAATCAGGTGAACCGTCTGCTCGCTTGGCAGCTTTTCACATAAAAAAAAATTACAAATTACACACGTAAACACAGTAAACGGTTAATAATAATGTTTTATGAGGTATTGCAGTGCGGGACTCACAAGCTAAATAGTATAGCTTGATTAAGCGTAATTATTTAAGGTCTTGTACCTTCTATAGGGACCTTATAAGATATTATGTGCACTGCTCCTAATCACATTCCAAAGATGCCGACGGCCTACCAAGCGCTCACACAGTATTTTGACAAAGCTCGGAGTTAGAGCTCAGCTAGAGAGGAGAGAAAATACTGTTCGAAAACAGCCGTCGAGATACAGATAGAAACTAGAAACCCTTTTTTCATAGAAACAGGCTTGTTATCTATTGAGTTTTCCATTTGAAGAAGCATTTTAAAGAAATTATGTGAAACATTGACAACCCGATTGGCGTAGTAGATAATGGGCACCTGTCTCTTGCGCCAAGGGTGTGTTCAATTACTTGAAACATATTGTGCGATGAAAATATACTTTCCATATACTGAGTGTTAATATATCTTTGATATGTACTAACTCACCAAAAAATAGTATGCTGAAGTATGTTTATCAATTGCCTAGTATCCATAGTACTAGTTTCGGTTTGCGAATAGTAAAAATATACCCTGAAATGTTTACTTATTTTATCCATTGTTATTGATGATGGTACAAACGGTCACTCAAGTATTTATTTAATTGGACTCATTTTACTTTCAGATGACACATGTAAATTATCAAACGCCACAATGCCGTCTCCCGACAACCGACCTCGAGGTATGTAGCAAGAAGTAATGATGGTAAATATTTTTAAAATACAATATTTTTGTGACAATAACTGATCTAGCAATACGATGCAACGTTAGTAGTTCTTTTCATATATAACGCACATAGATTTTATTGAAAATATGAATAAAAGGAAAAGTTAAGATCCTATTGAGGAGGAAGATGACTGGAAGGTCGCTATTCTTCTAAATATCTGAGATATTCAGAATGGTTCCTTATAAATTTTAGGTATACAGTAAACCATCAACGTTCAGCCATTACTCTTAAAAGGAAAGTGATTTTCTTTAATAATATTAATATTCTATCGAATATTTAATTAATTAGTTATAAAATAGTGTTAACGATAAGTTACGGAGTTAACAATAAGCTATAAAAAATGCAAATGCCATAAGTGTAACATAAGAAGACAGAAACAAATTCACAGCCAAGTGCATGAACCCTTGCATATATCATGATAACATTCCTAAAACTCACCCCTTCTATGAGACGATAAAATTATAATCGTCTATCTTCGCAGAAAGCATTCTGACAATTCCTAATCCTAATTATCGATGATGTATGACATAATTTTACATTAACAAAAACCTCCCATAAACTGATATTATTCAAAAATCCTAAAAGAAAATGTAGTCATCTGAATCGCAAAACAATTTTCGAGGTAATACAGCAAAATGTTCTGCGAAGAAATTAATAAAATCCCTTTCCGAATAACAATTTCGTCGTCTCGTGCCTATGTTGAGGAGTCCAAATAAAGTTGTCGCTTACACGAGGAAAATTGGGAACACAATGGCCTTAAACTAATTGAAATTAATCCAAGATTGACACTACAGAATATTAAGCGAGTTTTAGCCGAGTCTTCTCTTAATGTATATCGTATTCCTGAGAAGTATATGAGTCCACGAATGACAACAGGCTTTGTTCTCTAATAAGGTCGGCTTCTCCTTAAACCAAACACAATACGACGAATTGCTTTGTTTGACGTAGGTACTCCCTTCAATTACAACTCTTATCTCTTTCTTACCCTCTCTATTTCTAATTTTGCAACTAAGTTTAACCAAAGTAACTTAAGTAATTTTATAAACTCTCCATAAGATCATATCATGTGCGTAGTAATATTTTTCACATGTTATAGCCACGCAGCAAACACCATGCAAACTTAGACACTTAATTGTAATGGGTATCTATGTTATATATACAAAGAATGTTACCTATTAATCTTATCACTAATCTATATACTTGTTTATGTTTATCTAGACTAAGCACTATCACACAACTATATTTTCATAAATTAACCTCAGCTCATTCAAAATGCCGCGCGGTAAGCCATTAGAATATCAAGGATCTGTCATAAACAATATCACCACGGCGACATAAAAGACTGCCGTGTAGAAGTAGCATTTATACGTTGCTTATCACCCGGTGAGTCAGGTAATCAAAGCGGACCAGATAATTCTGTAACACAGATGTAAAACAGTGGACCGCTTACTAAAAAAAGGTTAATTGCAAATGAAGTTTTTAATGTAATTTAAGGAAGCACATTATACCATTTACGTTAAGAGCTGTGCTAGCTCAGTGTCCGGGAACTCGCTTTTAATTCATTATACTCGAGCAACCTGAGTTGAAATTCCGGGACATGTGTAGGATGTGTTACTTTACATTACATTATACCTCCACTCTCATGAAATTTTCGGAAACTTTCTAGACAATTAACACTTTATTCTCAAATTCCCCTACCTAATTAATACTTGACCGTGAAAGTTTTGAAATTTTTTAACTAAATTCACCCTTAATATTATGAACTAATAATTTTTCTCATCATTACATTCACTGCAGTGTTTTTATCAATAAATAATAAAATCCGACTTCAAAGACGAAACTAATAAAAGCATTGTCAACACCTATAACTATAAAATATAATAACATTTGAGGAGTGCCATCGACTTCCCTCGGATCCCATCATCAGATCTGGGTTGCCTCATCATGGTACCACCCTTGGGATATCTCATTTCCAACAAAAAAGGAAAAAGGAAAGGAAGAATCAAAATCGATTCATAAATGACGAAGTTATCCCCGAAAAAAAAAAAAATATATATATATATATATACGGTCGAATTGAGAAACCTCCTCCTTTTTTGAAGTCGGTTAAAAATGTATTGAATTGAAATGAAAATTATTTATAGAAGGCAATTTTAATAACGCTCAAATTCACTAATGCAATTGATGTTGGGACTGCTAAGAGGTTATGTTTTCTTAGGGCGCGGCGGAAAAATGTATTGAGAGTTGACCTACGTCGGCCGCTAAGCAGGTTGGAATTTCCATCGATGACACAACCTATTTGATAATACTTTCTTGTCTACTTTAAAACCTTCTCTACTTTTTAAGCAAAACTGTGATCATATATTTAAAAGCATGTATAACACATCATAATATCGAAATTTAATTAGTTAACTGTTTTAATCTCTAAATTCTTATAATGAAAAAATCTATGTTTCTAATTGTGTTAATAAGAAATTATAATTTCTGGTATAGAGATGTTAAAAATGGTATGGCACATCATGTCTCGCCGCTACAATACGAGGCATGCAAATATAAAAAAATAAAAATCGTGTTTACTATTTAATATTTCTTGGACATTAAATCATTTACATTGTAGAAACTGTTCTCGATTAACCAATTATAAAATTTGATTTTAAATAACCTTGTTATATATCTGCACACACATAAAGAAACAGCTCCTACTATATTTTCTCAATTTAGGATTATCACTTAGTACAAGTCTGTCAATCTACGAAAACAAACTTAAATGAAAGTTAGATCAATATCTGGGCGCGATTAAAAAGAACTGTCAACCCCACCAATATAATATGTTTGTATAAACTTAATCCCTCTGTCACAAACAAAACCATTACTAAAACTGTCACTGCCGGAGGATTCTAGAAAAAAAAAATCCAGGCCGGATAGCTTAGAAAACGTAACAACAAAACACCTTTATAGTCTCATGACAAACACCCAGATAAAGTTTCTAGACGCAAACAAATATTTCACGATTTTGGCACGCCTTTTTCTCCCGTTCAAATTACCGAAATACGTTATTTATGTGCTTTCCGACATCGCTGTGGTTAGAAGAAATTTCGTCCATAAGAAACATTTCGAACTCAGATGACGATTGTAATAGCGCGATTTGCTGCACTCTGTGACCAACGTCGCGTATGGCTTGTTTATAATCGAGCATAGATTGTTCTAACACGAATAGCAGCGGCAACTGATCTATCATCAAATAGTCACTGCTGTTGTTAATATCTTACATTAAAAGTATCCGTGGGGTCACGCAACGCATCTGCTCATGCGTTTATGGGCAGGCTCGACCGAGGAAGTCAAAGTCGAAGTCGAAGCAGGTTTAATTTAATTTGGAGGGTAGCTTTAATACTACTGGCGGCACCGATAATAAATAAATGTGTAAGTTTTAACCAACTTTAAAAAGGAGAAGGTTATCAATTCCGATGTTTATATGTTTTTTTTTACTTGAGAAGGTGGCAAGTGCGCTGACGGCTCAACTGATGTCAAGAGATAACCACCGCCCATGGTCATTTGCAACACCCGTAGGGTGCTACCTTTTAATACAGTGGACCCCGGTTACCCGTAGCACCCGTAGCAGGATGAGATTTCGTCAAATGCCAAAAAATAATACGGATAAAAAACTTTTTTTTTCTTGTATTTACGCGATTACACATTATAAATGAAACTAATTTTACGGATTTATCGCGTGTATTTTTAATTTTAGTTCCCGACGTTTCGAACCCTTTACAGCGTTCATGGTCATGGGACAGACTGTCTATATTAAAAATAAACGCGATAAATCCGTAAAATTAGTTTCATTTATAACGGATAAAAAACGTTGACATTTTCATCGTTTTAGAAATCAGCCGTTTAGCTTAGTGGTTAAAGCATCCGGGTGCGATTCCGCAAGTCTTGGGTTCGATTACCGCAGCGGCGACAAATTTTACCACTCCATAAACTCTCACCACATCCTGGGTTGACTGGTAGAGAATGCCTTTGGGCATTAAGTCCGCCCTTTGTTACCTTGTTTTACTGAAGGTTGGCAATAAAGATTAAATAAATAAATAAATAAATTTTCGTCCATTTTTTCTACAAATTTTAATGCTTTATCTTAAGTTCAGAGATTAGCTGTATAATTTTTTTATTTCAAATACCAATGAAACGACATTTGAAATTGTTTGCGTACTCTAAAGGGCACATGCAATAGTTGCGCTAAGCACTGCTTAAATGCGAAAAAACAATGTAGGTAAAATACGTTGAGATTTTCGTTAGTGTTAAGATATACCAATTAGCTCAGTGTTTAAAACGTCGGGCACGTAACCCGGAGGACGCAGGGTCAAATCCTCATTTCGGCGCAAAACTTTTCATCCAATTTTCTACGAATTCTCTAGATTTCATTGATAATTTAGATCTTTTTATAAAGACTTAAAAACTTTGTTATTAAACACCTATTCAAAGTATTTTATTCTTATTAGACTTGTTTTTTAGAGTTGACTTCAAGCTTATCCATAAATGATAGCTCGAAATAATCTTAAGAAGTAAGGAAGAAGTGTAATGATTAAAACATGTAGAAAAAGTATGAAAAGATTGTCGCCACTGTGGGAATCGAACTCACGTCTTTGGCATTTGTGGCCTGTCGCTCTAGCCACTGAGCTAAACGGCTGATAGCCACAGCGACGAAAATCTTAACGTCTTCTTTGGGCTCCACCATCCATAACGACTGGACGAAGAAAGTAACAGAATCGTAAATTAAATAACATTTCGAAAGTAATTTTTAGATTTATTCGGAAAACTTTTTTGAAATACATAAAAGAATAACAATTAATTGTATTTATGTGTGAAAAACATACATACATATCGATACATATTTATAATAGTGTAAATATTCGATTTGTAAGCATGAATACATCAGCAAAATAATGAAGTTGCGTATT